CACAAGAAAAAGAGCCTTGTCATTTAAATGGATGATTAATTTTTAAAATTAAAGTATAAACAAAAAGATAATTCTTTAACAAATTAATTTTTATTATTTTCTTTGAATACTGACCATCATTTGTTGGTTTTAGCCTAGAAATACATGATTTTATAGCATCTCTATACACAATTGGAGTGTAATAAATACATATACACATTGACATATGTATATAATCTAATATATACTAAAGTGTGTTTGTATATTTAATTTACATACATAATCTAGACATATGGATATACATTTACCTATATTTATATGTAAGCACATGTAGTCTAACATATGCTAAAATTTTATACATTTAATTTATATATACTGTACATAGGTGTACATTACATACATGTTTGCATGTAAACACACACATGCACCCTTTTCATTGCATCTACACATGTCAGTCCTTGTAGTACAACTTAATGAAACCTGATTTTCCCCTAATGACCTTTCTTAATCAACTGCCTCAACCTCCTAACACCAAAATAAGCAGAAATTTTTATCTAGCTTGCAAGATTTTCACTCAGAGATAATCTGCATTAAAAAAAAAAACTCATTCATATGTATGGATGTGACTTTAATGTATTTATAGCATATTTCATTCTTGAAAAAGGGAATGACTGGACCCATAAAACTGAAATGAAAAAAAAGTAAAAAAAATATAAATTAAAGAAAAGGGAATGAAAAATGCAAACTAGATTAAGGGGGTACAAAAAGCAACAAGATCAAATAACTGGATTTATTCCATTGATTCTATCAAATTAATAAGATAGAACTTCCAATACATCTGTACTGTAGTATGGCATTTAAACCAATTCCTCTGCCAAACTTGACAGTCTATTATTTAACTAAATTCATAAAATGCTCAAGGAAAAGATTTCTTAAGAAATGCTCAATTATGGCTATATCAAACATCTCTTCCAAAATGCCTTTCAAGATCAAATAATTTTAGTATAACATAATCATTGAACGTCTATTGCCTTGAGAAAACAAGAACTAAAGTTGGAGAAAGTAATTAAAGCCAGATCCCAAAAGTTAGTACATCTGAGGCTCTAGACACTCAATCTGCATGTGCTGTGGTTTCCAGTAAAACACTAAAGTGAGGTAATTTTTCATTCTTATTATGTTCATGACTCTTGCAAAACTAAACTAGGGTAAAAATCTCTTCGTTTTTCTCATTAAATGCATTATAAGTTTTCAGTATCTTGTACTAAAAAGAGAATCTCCCCTATAGTTACCTTTTTTTTGAGACAGTCTGGCTCTGTTGCCCTGGCTAGAGTGCTGTGGCATCAGCCTAGCTCATAGCAACCTCAAACTCCTGGGCTCAAGCGATCCTCCTGCCTTAGCCTCCAGAGTAGCTGGGACTATAGGCATGTGCCACCATGCCCGGCTAATTTTTTCTATATATATATATTTTAGTTGTCCAGATAATTTCTTTCTATTTTTAGTAGAGACGGGGTCTCGCTCTTGCTCAGGCTGGTCTCGAACTCCTGATCTTGAGCGATCCACCCGCCTTGGCCTCCCAGAGTATAGTTACCTTTTATAAGTCATGAGAGAATTCCTTATAAATTGTGGATAATATAAACATCTCAACTTAATCACCTTATTTTACTCCTTTCCCTGTCTTCTGTAAATCCAGATAAGGAATTGTGTAATTGGCTTATATGTCACTTTCTCCTCCCCCTTCTTTATCTGTTGTTCTCTTTTGAGACTTAATAATTGGGCTAGAGGAGGCAAGGAGCAAGATTACCACATGCCTGGAAGTATGAACCTTGAAGGAGGTAAAACTGGTTAAAAGCCACAACACACACAGACACATGCACAGACACACACAAATATACACACACTTCAAAAGCAGGGAGGAGGCCGGGCACGGGTGGCTCACACCTGTAATCCCAGAACTTTGGGAGGCTGAGGTGGGAGGACTGCTTGAGGCCAGGAGCTCAAGACCAGCCTGAGCAAGATCAAGGCCCCTGTCTCTACAAAAAAAATTAGCCAGGCATGGTAGCCCATGCCTGTAGTCCCAGCTGCTTGAGAGGGTGAAATGGGAGGATCCCTTGAGCCCAGGAGTTGGAGGTTACAGTGAGCTATGATGATGCCACTGCACTCTAGCCCCAGGCAAAAGAGCAAGACAAGAAAGGAAAAGAAAGGAAAGGAGAAAAGAAAGAAAGAAAGAAAAGAAAGAAAGAAAGAAAGAAAGAAAGAAAGAAAGAAAGAAAGAAAGAAAGAGAAAGAAAAAGAAAGAAAGAAAGAAGGAAGGAAGGAAAGAAAGAAAGGAAAGAAAGAAAGAAGAAAGGAAGGAAAGAAAAGCAGGGAGGAGAAAAAAGCATAATGAAAAATTTCTTTTCATAAATTTGAATAGAACAGCTGAGATCTTGTGCAACTAATAATTAAATAATTCTGTATTTCCATGCTCCTGTATTCTATGCTCCTTTTTTATTTTCTCTTTTAGGTCACTGAAAATAAATACACAGAGATTTTTAAAAGATTAAATTTTTTAAAGATATGCTAATATAGTATGGCCACATAGTTAGCATGGATAAATGTTTTCATATAAAATCTCAGAGCACCTAAAAATAGCATAGTATTTAGGCTCCAAAGAGTGAAAAGAAAAATGCCTGGAGCCCACAGAATCAAAAAGAAATAGCAAAAAATACTGGTCTCCTGACCGTGGTCCCAAGGAAAAAAAGAGAAAGAAAATACTGGTCTCCTGATACTTAGCCTTGGACTTTGGTCAACATTCTCTCACCCCAAGGAGCATTTAAAAAATTAATAAGTGATCGATATTAAGAGGCTATATCATCACTATGGTAGGTTTCAATAATTCTGAATGATTTATAGTTATTGGACAAATGTATTAATAATTGATCATTGTATAGGAAATATAACCCAATATTAGAAATGTTAATATTTTAACTTTTACTTTAATAACTTATGGTCTATGACTTTGTCAAAGATCTTTTGAAAGCCTGACTCTATCATATTCATGGATAAAGCATTGTGTAAATGCATGCTTAACACTTAAATTAATTGTGGTAAATAAATCATGCTTTAGAGGATTCTTTTGTTTTTTTTTTTTTCTCCTAGTAGGTTACATGCATCTAAATGTTTTGTAACCCTTTTTGTTACAATCTTGTCCAGTATGGAAGTTTCTAGCCCTCTCTTGGATCTTTGTTTTGAAGGAGAGTATTTGTTCTTTTTAATTCTTTATACTGTAGAATATACTACTAGACATTTCTTAGGAACTTGTTAGAACGTGAGTACCTGTGGTCTGAAATTAGGGGAAATTGACATTGCTTGATACTAATGCTTCTTAAAGTAGATTTCTTAATGGTGTTATACTTTTCCCTTAGATGTTATTACATGGTCCAGACACAATGAGATAGAACAAAAATAATTTGAAAACATTTTTCTCACTAAGCCATGTTGTCAATCAACAATTTAGAAGAATAATTCTCCATTTCTACTTTTCATTTCCATAAAACTGAACTCGAATTAGTTTGCTGAGAAGGTATAAGACTTGGAACCAGTTATTTAAGCCCTATTGGCCTTTAGTTTTCTCACTTGTAACATGGGGGAGTTGGTTTGAATGTTTTCTAAGATTCCTTCAGCTCCAGAAGTCTATAATTCAATGCCGGAGACTTGTTTGACCTGGTATTTTAAAACTCTCCTATTAGTCATGTTAAAACTTCTTACAGGCGGGAGCGGTGGCTCACGCCTGTAATCCTAGCACTCTGGGAGGCCAAGGCAGGACGACTGCTTGAGCTCAGGCGTTCGAGACCAGCCTGAGCAAGAGCGAGACCCCGTCTCTACTATAAATAGAAAGAAATTAGCCAAACAACTAAAAATAGAAAAATTTAGCCAGGCACAGTGGCGCATGCCTGTAGTCCCAGCTACTCGGGAGGCTGAGTCAGAAGGATAGCTTGAGCCCAGGAGTTTGAGGTTGCTGTGAGCTAGGCTGATGCCACTGCACTCTAGCCCGGGCAACAAAGTGAGACTCTGTCTCAAAAAACAAAAACAAAAAAAAACTTCTTACAAAGTCCATGTAAAATTCATAGAAACAACTTCAAGATTGCCATGCTCTGTAAACTTAGCAGCTATCACTTGCATTACCTTCTACTTGTGGGATAAATCATTTTATCTCAATAAGAAAGTTTCTTCCTTCTTCCCCTCCCCTCCCTTCCCTCCTTTCTTTTCCAAGTCTACACCCAGGTTTTCATAAGTGGTTAGGGTTTTAAATTCTCAAGACACATTTATCTGGAGGTTCCAAGGTGTTTCACTTTCTACATTCCTAGATTATTTGGTCCCCTCCTCATTCAATATATGTATGGCACATGATTTTGGTTTTATTTTTCTTAACCAGTGTATTGAAATGCCTAATGTGATTAAAAAAATATGCTATGGCTTGTTCATAATATCTACTTTATGACTTTCTGCACATCACTCAAGACCAGGTCTAGGAAATTTACTTTTCTAATGATTTCTTGAAGTATCAATGGAGCACATAATCATTTATCCATCCAAGTACTTATCTCATGCTTTCCATTCCAATAAAGTATGCTACCAAGTATGTTTAGGTTCCTAACTGTTAAGTACCTACTATAATTTTTCAAGTTCTACCAATTTTCATGACTAGATTATATAAAATTTCTATCTACAGAACACTTTATATGAGAAGACTTTTACCTCATTGCTGTTCATTACTCTCCATGTAAAATGTCCCTATTTATCCTATGAGTCTGACACGAGGAAGGGAGAGTAGACAGGGAAAATGGGAAAACAAATCTCAGTCACTTTAGGCTGTGGAGATCTGGCTAAGAGCCCAGAGGTGATCTTGGTTCAACTAAAATCACATACATGTTGTTACATTTCGAATCCATTTCTTTTTTCTATCGTGACCTGCAAAGTTTATTCAATTTGTGCTTAATTTTCAATCTTAATTCTTTAACATAAAATCTTAATTATCTTACCTCAATTCCAGCATCAGTGATTCTGTAACACTCGGATAGAGAAAGTTCTTTCAATTTTTTATGTCTGGAAAGTGTCATCAAACCCTAAAAATATTTAATATAAAGATAATTTTGTGACTATAATTTAGTATGGAAGATATATTTCCAATAGCCATTTATGCAAACTAACAACATAAAAAAACCATTTATGCAAACAAAATAAATTTTGCTTCTGTCTTATATTTCTTTATACTTAACAAAGCAGAAGATAATTTGGTTAGGTAATATCATTAAATAAAATTTTGGGGTTGTCTCTAATGTTGTGCAAAATGTTTTACAGAATCCCAGAACCAGAAAACTCCTTAGGAGGTTATTATCTTGCCACCTGTTTCCCAATAAATGTTATCTGAATCAATATAAACAAATCTAACTTACAACTTTATTTTGAAGACACTTTATGTGGCTAATGAACATATTTGTCATTAAGTTCTTATTTATGCCTAACCTAAACATCTAAAAATCTTTAGTTCATTTTATAATGCCTAATCTCTTGAAGAGAAAGAGAATAGATCTTTACACAAAGACCTAGAGACAGATAATCATTCACTAATAGCCCACTTCTTTTTCAGGTTAAAAGCTTTGGATTTTTTAATTAATGAAAATTAAATTGCACTTTCAGCCCTTAATTTTTTTAATGTGTATTTGTGCTGTCTCATTTCCCAGTACTTCTCCCTCAAAGTTGCTGGCACAACACTCAGGTAAGTACTGATGAATGTTGCTTACTGATGCCATCCTCCAGTTTTGCATTCAGGATCGTATTACTTTCATAATTCCAGAAGATATGCTGCTTAAATTAGGTGGACAAGAGCAGTTTTTTCCCATTCTATGATTCCAGAGCTGGCTGGAAGGGAAAATGCCAGCAATGACAGATGGATTTGTCCTTTTCATATTTTATTTATAGGACTGGTTTATATTTTATTGATCTTAAATATAACATTTGGACCATAATTGAAAAAGGGCTATGCAAATATTATATCCTGTTTTTTCCCCTGGTGTATAGATTAGGCCCTTCCATTAAAAAAAAATTCAGATCAAAGAAAAAAGTCTTGATTGCTTAAGCCATTGTTTAAACTGAGATTTCTAATTTCATTTAATGGTTCTGTACATCATCCCAAAATGAAATCACTCTATTCATTCTTTTCATTTTTTTACTTTTTTTTTTTTTTTTTTGAGGCAGAGTCTCACTCTGTTGCCCTGGCTAGAGTGAGTGCCGTGGCGTTAGCCTAGCTCACAGCAACCTCAAATTCCTGGGCTCAAGCGATCCTACTGCCTCAGCCTCCCGAGTAGCTGGGACTACAGGCATGCACCACCATGCCCGGCTAATTTTTTCTATATATTTTTAGTTGTCCAGATAATTTCTTTCTATTTTTTTTTCTATTTTTAGTAGAGACGGGGTCTCGCTCTTGCTCAGGCTGGTCTCGAACTCCTGAGCTCAAACAATCCGCCCACCTCGGCCTCCCAGAGTGCTAGGATTACAGGCGTGAGCCACCGCGCCCGGCCCATTTTTTTACTTTTATTTGCATTTATTTTATGCTGAATTTGTTCCCATGTCATAAGTTTTTATTTGTTTTTTTTTAGTTTCTTCTGGGATATCTTTTTCTTCTGTGCAACCTCATTCTTTTAATTTTATTGTGACTGTGGATTCTTTGCTAGGAACACGTTATGTTTTCTAACTCCTTGTTTCCAAACAAAGAAAGACCAAACCCTGTGGAGCCATGGCATGTGGTCTGGGTTCCAGATGTGGATGCTATTTAGAAGAACTGGAAGATTTTAGATATTCCCCTCAATAGAGAACAAATTGTTTGAAAAAAATACCAAGTAAGAGATGCAAAGTTTGTTTCTTTGTCCTATACTTTGTCCTATACAAAGTATGTTTTTGTATCCTACAGAAAATTTGTTCTATGAAACTGTCTCTAAAGTTTTCACTTAGATTTTATTTTTATGTAGCCAAGTTAGAATTTTTTAAGATGATCTATAAATTAAGTGTACTTGCTAAGTGTGACATTTAACAGCATATATGCTCCACTTTATTCAAAATCATTAAAAATTAAAATATTTAAATGGAATGCCATGTCTCATCATTTTAATTGTTCATTAAAACATATGGCCTCAAAATTGAATTGATCAACATCATTAGCCATTAGATAAATGTATAATGAGATACCACAACACATCTACTAGGCTGATAATAAAAAGTGTTGGTGAGTATGTAGACAAATTGTAATCCTCATACAGGGATACTGGAAATGTAAAATGGACCAGCCACTTTGGACAACAGTCTGGCAGTTCCTCAAAAAGTTAAACATAGAATTATCATGTGACCCAGGAATTCCACTCCTACGTTTATACCCAGAAGAAATGAAAACATATGTCCACGCAAAAAATTGTACAGGTATGTTCATAGCAGCATCATTCATAGTAAAATACATTTATATACGGCCAAATGATTTTGACAAATGTGCCAAGAACATACAAATTATAGCAACAACAAAAACCGAAAAGATTCTGCACAACAAAGGAAACAATCAACTAAGTATAGAGACAACCTGTAGAATGGTAGAAAACACATGCAAACTATTCCCCCAACAAGGGATTAATATCCAGAATATACAAGGAACTCAAACAACTCAACAGCAAAAAACCCCCCAAATAATCAATTTAAAGGGGGCAAAGGAACTGAATAGACATTTCTCAAAAGAAGACATACAAATGGCCAATAGACATATAAAAAAAATACTCAATATTATCAATCATCAGGGAAATGCAAATCAAAACCACAATGAGATGTCATCTCCCTCCAGTTAGAATGGCTATTAACGAAAAGACAAAAAATAACAAATGATGGCAAGGATGAAAAGGGAACTCTTATACATTGTTGGTGGGAATGTAAATTAATACAGCCATTATGAAAAACAGTGTGGAGGTTTAACACCAAACTAAAAAGAGAACTATCAAATGATCCAGCAATCCCACTACTGGGTCTTTACACAAAGAGAAGGAAATCAGTATATTAAAGTCATGCATGCACTCACATGTTTACTGGAGCACTATTCACAATAGCTAAGATATGGAATCAACCTAAATGTCCATCAGCTGACAAATGGATAAAGAAAATGTAGTATATATACACAATGGAATACTATTCAACCACAAAAAAAGAATAAATTCCTGTCATTTGCAGCAACAAGGATGACCCTGGAAGGCATTATGTTAAGCAAAATAAATCAGAAACAGAAAGATAAATACAGCATATTCTCACTCATATGTGGGAGCTAAGGAAAAAAATTTGAGCTCATGGAAGTAGAGAGTAGAATTGTGGGTATTAGAAGCTGGAAAGGGTATGGGAGAAAGAAGGATGAGGAGAGATTGGTTAACGATTATAAAATTACAACTCGATAGGAGGAATGAGTTCAGCACTGTAGGGTGAATATGGTTAACTATAATTTATTGTGTATCCTCAAAAAGCTAGAAGAGAGGATTTTGAATGTTCACAACACAAAGAAATGACAAATATTTGAGGTAATAGATATGCTAATTACCCTGATTTGATCATTACACATGGTATATATATGGAAATATCACTCTGCATCTCATAAATATGTACAATTATTATGTGTCAACCAAAAATACAAGGGAAAAAAAAAAAAGAAAAAGTGGAAACAACTCAAATGTCTATCAACTGATGAAAGGATAAACAAAATGTGTTATATCCATATAGTGGAATTTTATTTGGTAATAAAAAGAAGTACTGATGCATGCTACTATACGGATGAACCTTGAAAATATTATACTAAGTAAAAGAAGACAGACCCAAAGGCCACATATTGTGTGATTCCATCTATATGAAAAGTCCAGAATAGGCAAATATGTAAAAACAGAAAGTAGATTAGTGGTTGCCTAGGACGGCTGGAGGGTGGGACAGGCATAGGGAGTGACTGTTAACGGGAAGGGAGTTTCTTTTGGGAGTGGTGAAAATGTTCTGGAATTAGATTGTAGTGATGGTTACATTACTCCATGAATCTACTACAAACCAATGAATCGTGCACTTTAAATTGGTGAGTTTTATGGTATGTGAATTATATCTCAATAAAGATGTTTTCAAAAGTGAATTGATTTACATAATAGTTGTATAACTAAGTAAAAATCAGAAAATATTTCTGCAGCATCCTTCAGTTCAAGATGAATATAGAAATTGCCCACTTTTCAAATATTTTTGTTAGCGACCTACAGACCCTGAAGACCAACCCATTAGCAAGACAGGAAGCAAGAGATGTCATCGTGCTTATGTGTTAGACAAGTTATCATAAGGCCTTTCTGCTGTAAATAAACACAACTTTGTAACCGCCTCATATTGGTTATGGAAGGCCAGCTTCTCCAAACAAGTGAAATACACTATTCCAGTCAATAGGATTCATTTTTAGTGATTTTTTGACTCAGAAGCTTCTCAGATTAGTGACCTAAAGAACATCGGAGCCACGTAGGTAAATATTCTGTTTGGTACCACGAAGTTCATAAATGCTCCAAATTAGGAGGCATTCTCTGAGACAAGTATTACAACATTTTACAGATTTTCTTTATACCTTTAGAAAGTCTTACATCTCAGGTCTGGAATAAATTCACTCATTCTTAACTCATCACGTGATAAATATTTTAGATGTATTATATTGATCAGGCTCTGGGACAGAAAACTGGGAGTATAAAGGGCAATAATATGCTGTTTGCTATCAAGAAGCCCATAGTCTGGCGTGGAGACAGACACGTACAACAGATCATTACAACCTGGTGAAAGGTAAATACTGTGCACAGTGGTGGTATCGAAGAAGGATGATGGGGCCAGCTACCGTGAGCTGGAGAAGACTTTCTGGAGGAGAGTCATGAGCAGAGAAGCACAAGTTGCCAAGTAGACCATGGAGGGAAAGACATTCTAGGCAGAAGGAACAGAATGTGAAAAGGCATTAAAGTATGAAACAGACTGTAGGGAACTATACAACACGGCATGAATGGACTTATAATGGATATTTTTAAAATTATCTGAACAGTTGATC